GATTTGCATTGGATATTGTGTTTGTTAATGATGTTAGTGGAAATGACTTCCACATGTTACCTGTGAAACCTGTGTTCATTTCACCACCTTTGCCAAAGACAAAGTCGTGCTCGTGGGTGCCGCTAACGTGGTACACGTCTAAGAACTGCATCAACTCGGGATCTGACACAGCTGACAACTGGAATAGCCTACTGTTCAAAGCGGCGTTGAACCCAACTCACTCACTAACTACAGGCAAGTCTCTATGCACCCGACGTGTAATCTGGAAAGCGACCCGGAGCACTTGTAAGCATAAGAAGCACGTATTAGTGTAAATAGCTGAAAATATCCGACTGAAATGTGCGCGGTATCCACAGATCTGTGTGGAGTTTAGATTTTCAACACGAGATCTGTGTCAAGGTAGTAGTAGTCGTAGTAGTAGCGGTAGTAGTAGCAGTAGTAGTAGTAGTCATAGTGGTAGTATTAGTAGCTGTAGTAGTAGTAGTAGTAGTAGTAGCAGTAGCGTAGCAGCAGTAGTAGTAGCAGCAGTAAGTAGTAGTAGTAGTAGTAGTAGTAGTAGTAGCAGTAGTAGTGGTAGTAGTAGTAGTAGTAGTAGTAGTAGTAGTAGTAGTAGCAGCAGCAGTAGTAGTAGTAGTAGTAGTAGTAGTAGTAGTAGTAGTAGTAGTAGTAGTAGTAGTAGTAGTAGTAGCAGTAGTGTAGTAGTAGTAGCCGTAGTAGTAGTAGTAGTAGTAGTAGTAGTAGTAGTAGCAGTGTAGCAGCAGCAATAATAGTAGTAGTAGTAGTAGTAGTAGTAGTAGTAGTAGCAGCAGTAGTAGTAGTAGTAGTAGTAGTAGTAGTAGTAGTAGTAGTAGGTAGTAGCAGTAGTAGTAGCCGTAGTAGTAGTAGTAGTAGTAGTAGTAGTAGTAGCAGTAGTAATAGTACCAGCAGCAGCATCACCAATAGCTGCAGCAGTGGTAGTAGTAGTTGTAGAACCCCACCGGAATTACCATAAAAAAAACACAAATAAATTTATAAACAAATTATAGTATTCAAACAAAGTAGGTTTCTTACGCTGAAATGTATCCATATTCGGACACAACTCAACGACCGCTTTTGTACTGACCCGTACATGAGATCTTGATGTTTAGGTTAACTGGAGTTACTTCCCTTACACAGGTACTCGTTTCACTCCTGATATACCAGGTGACAGTCAGTCACTGTGGTAAGATACTGGTTGTCTCCGGACCCAAGGGAATAAACGGACAAATGAGGCTAGAATGCCTCAGTTCCTCAACCAGCATTATTCCGTGAATAATTTTAATTTTGTAGGTATGCATTTTCGAATAACATAACTCAGTCTTTGTTTCTTGGACTTTCTGCTACTCTGTTTAAGGCCGGGATGAGATGTTGGTATAAGGTGGGGTAGGGACTGGTTCTGGGTGTAGGGTCGTTGGTGGTATGGTGTGGGTGGCCAGGTCGGGGGTGGTGTGTTTGTTGGTGTCGAGGGGGCGTTAGTGTGGTGAGGGTGTCCATTCGGGGACTGCGGTGGGGCGTGGTTTGGGTGGGAGTCATTTGTTTATCAGTACCAAATAATACACACACTTGAAATAAATCTATTTTTTTCACACAGCAGGACCGTGTTCCTCAAACCCCGCATGATGTCAAAAGGTGTTAAGGGCTAGTAGTATTCAAACATGCACATTATTTCTAAAGTCTTCTTCTTCCATGCCTTTAAGAGACCATGTTCTATTTAATTTCGTTGAACCAAACCATTGATTAAATTTTAAAGTGCAGGGCTCCGTTTCACAAAGCGACCTTAGCGTTTAAGTAATCGTAACTCTATGTAACTTTGTGAACCCGGTCCAGGTCAGTAGGCTAGATTATTAGGACGTTCTATTACCTCTGCTTGTCGTAAAAACCTACTTAAATTCTACATTTAATTTTAAAGATTTACACAGCTGATCGTATCACGAAGATAGGCTATTAATCGCTTGTTTGCTAGTCACAACCTGCAATAGCGCTGAGTCGTCAATTATATTCACTCATTCCGTAATTGGACATAATCCACCAGTGCCATAGCCCATAACGATGAACCATGGCAGCACAATTCAAATCCTCAAAATAGCTTTGGAAACGTCTTTACTATAGATCAAAGCTCTGCTGAAGAGTAATCTTCATACCTCGTTACACCTCAGACGTAACATAGTCTTCGTACAAAGAACTGCGCACGCATAGCTTTCCACATGACATCAACCATCAGAAACAGATTCACACAATTATCTGTGATTGGACACACAACTGTGACTCAACGAGGCAGTTGAACCCCAAGTTATGCAACATGTACTATTGCTTGGCGGGGTAGGCTGTAAAAGACTTGGTATTGTGAGAAATTGTACTTCAGAGGTCACACGGTCACGTGACAAAGAAAGGTCAATGACCGAAGTGAAATGTCGCAAAGCCAAATATATCTGCAAGTGATGAAATATCAGAGGATACATATGAGCACATTTCTACAGTCCGTTTGATTTCAGTCGAGACCACTAAATTGAAATTTCACTATACGCGCTTGTTGATTACCTTGTTGATTACCGGTTGTTCTACCAGCAAGTGCCCCTCTCGTAGAAAAATATCGTAAAATGACAACAAAATAAATAATGATTGTTTGTTAAACAACTTTTTTATTCGGGTGCTCACAAGTTTGAGACTCATCAGAGTTGGTCCATCTATTTCATGTGACTTCGCAAAATTTAGTTTTGTTGCAGTTATTAGATTTTGTGTTAGTGAGCAATTCATCGGTCTCAAATGAAGATCAAACGGTCTGTTATTATTTTAATTATATGCAATAACTATTCTTTGTAGAATAACATGGGAGAAGCTGTTTCAAGTACATTGCACATGTACTATATTCGAAAAAACGTATGTGTCATATTTTAGAGATGGATTTGCATTATGATGCGATGCCTGTTAAAAACGTGTTGCATGTGTCTTGTCATCAGTGCATAAACCTGAGCTAAATGTGTGACAGAAGATGACACAAAACATATCTCTGCATATCTCAAGCCATGATGGCACGCTATATTTTAAGGTGTGTTGACATCTCATGTGACCACCGTGAGATGTACATTCCCTCTGACGTGGCACAACTGTCAGTAGACTGCCGGGGAGAGTGTCACATCTCGTGGACGTCGTGGAAGTGGAATACTCACTTACTCACTCACTCACGCAACCCTCACTCACTCACTCAACCCTCACTCACGCACTCATCCACTCACTCACTCACCCACCGACCCACCCAATCTCTCACTCACTCACCCAATTATCCACTCACTCACTCATCCACTCACTCACTCACTCACCCACCGACCCACCCAATCTCTCACTCACTCACTCACTAACTCATCCACTCAATCACTCATCCACTCACTCACTTACTCACTGACCCACCGACACACCCAATCTCTCACTCACTCACTCACTTCTTGAATAATACATTATGATAGTACAATACCATTGATTGCAAATAAGTCATTCGCGAAACAATTTGATTTGCATTTTTAGGCATGTATTGTTGTTTTTCAATTCAGTTAATTTTTATACAAAAACATGGTTAAAATATTCAGAAAAAGGCCGGGTCCCGGGTTGGGGACTGGACCGGGGATGTAGCCCATTACACCCCCTTCTGGAACCCGTGACCCTTGCGTCACACAGAAAGACTGACACTGTCTTCAGATACCCAGCACCTCAGGGTTAACCTGAACCCCTGTCGACCTTCCTCTATCACCAGGGGCAGTGGGGTAGCCTAGTGGTTGAAGCGTCCGTTCGTCACGCCGAATACCCGGGTTCGATTCCCCTCATGGGTACAATGTGTGAAGCTCATTTCCCCCGCCGTGATATTGCTGAAGTATTGCTAAAAGCGGCGTAAAGCAATACTCACTCACTCCTCCATCACCTTGACCTTCCCAATATGTGCGCCATCAAAATATCTCCCTGAACATGAGCTTGTGGGTATTGAAGCTCGTACCTCTTCCTCACGCCTCGCAGTTATGTTGTTACCCCTCCCCCTCCCAGGGTCACCTGCACCCACACCTCACGACCATGTTTCTCCATGACACTCGACCCCGGGGCAGTTGTCCCGTCAGTCTCGGGTTGACAAAGGTGGGTGTTTGTCGAGGCGTGTTGAGCTTGTATGCTAAGCACTCGCGTCACCCCACAGTGTGGAATTCCACTCATGTTAATTCTTCAATTACTTTCAGATGTATAAGAGTGTGTACATGTCTGTTAGGTCGGGCAACTTCTGTTCAACTTCAGCCTCTCATTTGCATATATGTTTTATTATAGTGCAAATATAATAGATGGGAATGAATTAAGAATAATAGCGTCATGCTCATGTGATTCATTTGTTTGTTTGCTTGTTTAAAGCTCACTCACAATATTCCAGCTCTACGACGGCGTCCCATTTAAATTATCCAGTCAACTGTTATGATTAAAAAAAATAAATTGTTCTCAAACAACAATTGCTAAGAGACCAAATGGTTCGGGTGGTCGTGCTCGGTGTATTTATTTGTTTGTTGTTTAACGCCACACTCAGCGATATCCAAGCTGAATGACAGACGCTTTTGAATAATTGAGTCTGGACTAGACGATCCAGTGACGACGCCATTAACATCGATCTGCCCAACTGGGTATCGATGACATGCATTAATCAAGTCAGCAAGCCTGACTCTCGATGATGTTAGCTGCGCCTTACGACATGCATCGGTTACTGACAATCAATTCTAAACGCGCATCTTCATGGACCTGGTCAGTCTACGCTGGGCTGATAGAATCGTAATCACTATATCAATCACAAGCTTGCTTGATAATCAATCTATCGAACTATTTAAGTCATTGGAGTCATTTAAATATTGTTTATTAAAATAAATACCCTAATTTTATTGTCTTTATCTTGTGTCAGTGAAAGATTTGTAAAATGTTTGAGATAATGTGCAAAACATTTACTGTTATCGTTTTACTAATTTCAGATATACATCAGAACCTACTGCAAGTAATAACCAATATGTCTGCCGACGTGATTGAACGGAAGGCCTACTTTGTGGGAATCTGGAGAGGAGACGTGGTTTCCGACAACATCATCCGCCAACTCAGAGTCAAATCAGAGGCTGATAAAGGCAAGAAGGTGAAGATCCGATTGTCCAAAGATGGCGTCCAGATCAGAAAACCTGCCATGTTCCAGGCATCTTCTTTGTTTGACACTTACCGAATGGCGGACATATTCTTTATGACAGTCAACCAACAGAACAGATCATGTCTTTTATGCATTGTCCGTGATCTAAAGCATAGATACGCAATTTTGGCATTCAGGTGTTCATCAGACCTTGATGCTGGACTATTCGTGCAAAATTTCAAGTCTTGGAAAAGCCGAAGTAGGGGAGGTAATTATGAGTTGAAACGTAAACAGGATGGGAACTGGACCCTTCGCAATCGTATTGCCTCGCCTACTCGACAGCCTCTTCAGATACCAAACGGTAGACCTGCACACTTGCCCGTCAACGGTGACGTTAGACACGTCAACCACGCCCCGATGAATGATATAACCGTGCTTCCTGACTCCGGAGCTGTGACTAAAGAACAGGTGATCATGAACGGCCGTCAACAACATAACATAGGAATCCAGACAAAGTCCAACGACATCGACATGGACCAGATGTCAGAGGTATCAGATGTTTCCGCTTTTAAGGACGAACTAGAGTCTCTTTCACAGGAACTACGAGAGATCAAGTTCCTTCTGGAAAAGTCCACCGGCATCAGTGTAGAGGAACACTACCGTCGGGCTAGAGAAGCAACAGAAACAAATAACAACGAGGAGAAGGTCTCGAATGAAAGTGGTTACCCAGATGGTATGGCTAGAGTGTATGTGTCTAACAGAGAACCACCAAAGATGGTTCCAAAGCTTTCACTCCCTGCTGACAATGAAGACGAAGTGTTTAGTGATGAACCAGATTTTAGAAGCTATGGCGTCCAAACAGTTCCTGGGCAGGCACCCAGCCATCCTTACATCAAGACGTCAGAGGTTGCTAAAGTGTTGAAAAGAGAGTTCAGTAGTACCCATCTTGACGACAAGACACCCCGTGTCATGGCAGTTCCCTTCCCAGCTGATGACAAATCACTGCAGCCAGTCAAACAGAACGGTCTCACCGTACAAACCAATGGTACGGCTGATGGACATTCTTCTGCGAAAAACAGTGTTCGGGTAAAATTTGATTCCAGATCTATGAGAGTAGCTCATGATCAGAAGTCAAGGTCAATGAGACTCAGCTCGGATTTCATGGTACCATCAACGGTTCCTAAACCAATTGAGAAGACATACGCCCGGCCCACAATTCTACGTCCTGGGTATGGGTATGACTCCCATCGCCATGTCCATCCCCGGAGAACCAGGCCACAAAGTCTATACATCATGTCAGGGGCTCAGCCCCTTAAAGTTCAGAACCCCAAGAAAACATATGAAGCACAATTCTGAATTGAAGGCCCGTGTGGCTGACCTATATTATGCGTTCATTGCATGTAGGGCCACAGCTGAAGAGTATTTGATAATCGGATGTTTTTTCCAGCTGATATTATGAGTACGATTTGTGGTTTGGAACATTCAATATGTCTAAACGGACGAGTGATATGTGACTTGGGTCTAACATTGTGCTCTAAACAGATGGAATTTATTGGATAAGATATAACGTTTTACTTCAGTGTCTTTAGTGGTAAGTATATATTGGATCTGAAGATGTTCGCCAAACACTATGGGGGTCTGAATAGTGAATGCCCCAATAGTTTGTGATTAGAAACACGGGCCTGCTTCCGAATACCCCTAGCAAATCAAGACATTAAGACATAAATCGAACACAGGAACGACTGTGTCCATTCCTGCGTGGATCCTGACTTGTTACCAATCATTCTAATCAGTGCAGTGTCTGTGTAGGATTGGTAATGTCACTCTGCAACCACCTACTGAGCAGTGTCCCTAACACACTCTTGTCCTGTGTTAGGATGATTCATGTATGACCGAGTTTGATGGAGATGCTCTGTGACCAGTTCTGTACAAGTTATTTGACAAGTTGTTTGACATGCTATCCGACTTTTGCACGTTCTTGGGCACCAGTTCTTCTACAAGTAATGTTAAATAGGTTACCTGATTTCTTTGAGAAGTTACTTAACAAATTTAAACACGTTCTTCTGCAAGTTCTCTGAGACAAGTTACCAGCTAGTTCTTCTGCACGTGACATGTCCCTTTAAAAGTTCCTGGACATTTAATTTCTTTGATTTTTGTGGCAAGTTCTTTAACAGTACGCCTTCTTAATAAGTTCCTTGACTAATCCCTTGATAAGTTCTTCTACAAGTTCCTTGACTACTTTCTTGACATGTTGGTCTACAAGCTCATTGGTGAATTCCTTGACAAGGTCTTTTCCTTTTGTCTAATTCCTTGACCGTTTCTTCTACAAGTCCCTAGACAAATTCTTTTGACCGTTTCTTCTACAAGTCCTTTGACGAATTCTTTGACCGTTTCTTCTACAAGTTTCGTGACGAATTCCTTGACAGGTTCTTCCACCAGTTCCGTGACTATTTCTTTGACCGTTTCTTCTACAAGTTCCATAACGAATTCTTTGACCGTCTATTCTACAAGATCCGTGACTAATTCCTCGACAGGTTCTTCTACAAGCTCCGTGACTAATTCTTTGACATGTTCTCCACAGTGCGTGGTGCAAATGCATCTGTAAAATGTGATGGTGAAAAACATCTTGATATTGTATATATTACCCACTTAACATTTACTTACGAGTTTATATACATTGTGTATGGAGGACCTACCATATATACTCGGAGGGCTGGATAATGTTAGTTGACGTGGCGAGTGAGCTGTAGTGATGGAATGAATATAGGGTTATCATGACTATACACGTGTTTGAGTGTACAAGTGTACTTGTATATAATCACAGTGGAACCTCTTTAAACCAGAACCTGTAAACTGGGGACTTGTTCTTGACACTTGCTAATCCAGATACATGGTTTGGTTTGAAGGGGTTTCTCTGTAACTGAGCAATAATCGTATAATGTATGTTAACAGCATTATTCAACTAAGTCAGCAGTATTTGACTAGTACTAACTCACACATTGATAACTGATTCAAGATAGACATACCACTAATTGAAACTAACTCTACCTTGTATTACTCTTATGACATAAAGAACGAATCATTAAAGGCCCATTGTTTTTTTTAGCGTGCGAGTGCACGTCCGTATGCGCGTGTCCGTTGTACGTGATGCGTACGTGTCAGTGTGTATTCGTGTGTGAGTGAGTGAGTTAAGTTATACGTCGCACTCAGCAAAAATCATGCGGCGGTCTGTAAATTATCGAGTTTGGACCAGATAATCCAGTGATCAACAGCATGAGCATCGATCTACGCAATTGGGATACGATAACATGTGTCAACCAAGACAGCGAGCCTGACCACCCGATGCCGTTACTCGCCTCTTACGACAAGCATGGGTTTCTGAAGATCAGTTCAAACCCGGATCTTCACGAGCGTAATCGTGCGTGGGTACCTGCAAGTGGGTATGTGCGTATGAGCGTTAGCGCGCAGGTGTGCGTTTGCGTGTTTGTGTGCCCAATGAGGTGGGGAATAGGAAGGGAGGGGAATAGGAAGAGTGGGGGTGTCAGCACTGTCAGGTAAATGGGTGGGGGAAGCGGAGTAAGGGATGTGAGATGCGCTCATGACTGCTATTTTTTAAAACAAATACTTCAGAATCAGAAAAAATGAAACGGATACAACACAGTTTTAAACTGCCTCGCAAAAGAGAGTACTCACTTGACAACCGTATTTTACTAAGGCTGGCAAAGTTACCATGACGACGTATTTTACAATATTTTCTAGTCACTTCGAGTGAGTGAGGGAGTTGGGTTTTACACCGCTTTTAGCAATATTCCAGTAATATCACGACGGGGGAAACCGGAAATGGACATCACATATTGTACCCATGTTGGGAATCGAACCCGGGTCTTCGACGAGCGGACGCTTTAACCACAAGGCTCCCCGACCGCCCCTAGTCACTACGGACGTAGAGGACTAGTGCATGTTGCGTTGGGGTAGCCTAGTGGTTAAAGCGTTGGCTCGTCGAAGACCCGGCTTCGAATCCCCACATGGGTACAATGTGTGAAGCCCATTTTTGGTGTCCCCCGCCGTGATGTTGCTGGAATATTGTTAAAAGCGGCGTAAAAACCAAACTCAGTCACTCAGTCAGTATATGCGAGGAACTGGTGTAAAGCTCTATCAAAGCAATATCAAGTCGATAGCTTGCTTTATCAAAACTGATTTTTAGCATGCACATGTATATACCTTATTGAAGTATATAGGTAATACACGATGCCCGATGTGCCACCTTAATATACAATGGTACCAGTAGTGGTGCCCCGGAACACCTAGCCCACATGTACCCAGGCTGAGGGCAGGCATTCATCTCTCCCTCGCAAGACCTCACAGCCAAGGCCACCGGACATGCTTGAAGTCATAAATATACATTACAATAATTAATGAGTGAGTGAGTGAGTTGGGTTTTACGCCGCTTTTAGCAATATTCCAGCAATATCACGGCGGGGGACACCAGAAATGGGCTTCACACATTTTACCCATGTGGGGAATCGAACCCAGGTCTTCGGCGTGACGAGCGAACGCTTTAACCACTAGGCTACCCACCGCCCCAATAATTAATGAGTGACACATCTCGCACATGTTGCTGCTATACAACGGTGGTGGGGAATAACATGGGGTTGGCGTCAGCATCTCATAAATATAAACCATCAACACCGGTAAATGTTCTTGGTTACCTGTCTTAACGGATGCCATTAGGCGGAAACGGAAAACTGGAGGGATGGCACCCGGTACTCGCAAAAGGAATATGTACTTTTCTTTGCATCAACAGAAGTCTATCTCAAACTGAACCCAAAGGTATATCTGTTATCAGGTGTATAAAATGATTGCTATCTACACCTGTAAAGTATACCTACGTACTTCAAGCAGGTGTATCTACAGAGGGGTATCTACACCTATAAGGTCTATACATACCTACGTAATGATATCAGGTGTATCTATGGTCTAGAAGCCAATACCCCAGAGTTCTGGCAATCGAATGGGATGTGATTTTTCACAATCAGGAATGATATAGCTTTGATTTAATGCCGGTTGCCATCAACTACCGTGCGTGACTACCATGCAGGGGCCCTTTAAAGGTGCAACATGTCATGTCAGTTATGGCAATATTTTAACCGACAACTGGATGGTTTAGTTTAATCCATTTATTTCCAACAAAGATATTGTAAACCACTGGCCGTCAGCGGTGAGCGATGAAGGACATCTTCTGCTTGGTCAGATCTATATATTTATTTTCCGAAATAAGAATGCTTATATTACTAGGAGATTAGGTTTTATAAATGCGTTTCCCTCCTCGCTCTGTATCGCTTGGACCTTACACATGCCAGTACTCTGTCTCATAATCCAAACTTTCCGCCCAACCTCTTTTGTAATGCAAAATGAAGCCAGTCTGGACTCTCACTGGTTCTGAATCTCCGAGTTCTGGGTTTTTCAAGAACATATCATTATTTCTGAATTCTCCCACATTAAACAACTGTTGTTAGATCCAATATGAACCTTGCACGCTGTGCAGCCTTTTTTGGCATTGGGTTTTGTGCGTGTGTTTGTTTGTTTATTTGTTTTTGTTGCATTTGTATCGGCTGAGGCTATTCAAGATGAAATCCACCGAAGCAGGATTTATTGATTATTTTCTCACTAACAGAGTGAGTAGCGCATTAAGTGAGCTACGTTTTATTTGTACCATAAACTCCCGGTTTTTCCTGGTGACTAGATTGTGTGTGTGTGCTTGCGTGCGTGCGGGAGCGCGCGTGTGTGTATCTCCTTATTGGTGAAATGCCACGTAACTACATCCTAATCACTATATTTAATCATGGTTAAATTTTCATAATGTTTGCACTGTAAATTGATCAACATGTAGATGCTTGACGGGCATTTAGAAGTTGGAAGGTAACATAACAACGTATGGTATGGATTTACAACTTCTTTATTATTTACAACACGACCTTGATATCCCAGAAACGTCGTTTAGTTATGATATTGAATATCTGCTTGATTTTATGGAATATGGAAAGGTTAATCCAAGTACATTGTATGTACGATTGCTTGTGCGATCTTTTAATCAGCATGATTATTTTCTCCAATTATCCATGGGGTAGTGGAAACAGAGGAAAGATGGGAGGTATCTGTTCAAGGCGTTAATGCAATACGCCCAGACCTCCAGACAACCTGCAGCGTTGCTTCAAATACTAAATCAATACATTTGAAAACAAGCTTACCTAAAAGAACATTGAAAAGTAACACAACACTGTATGAAAGTACCTGTGAGTAATGCAGCTTTAAGCAGGTTCCGATCCACAAGTATTTTTACAGATGTTTTGTTATTGATTGAATGCATGAATCATGAATCAAGAACTATGTATAATGCATGGATGCGAAACATGTTGCAAACTGTAATGTTGTTGTCAGTTAACACCCAATAAACCAGGAGAGAGTAATAACATATTGCATAGCCTAAACAACTATCAAACCTCAATGTCAATGACAACATTTAAGTCTGTAACATCTGTATCCCTTTTTTCCCACTCACATTTGTCTAAAGAACTGACAATGAGTTGAAACGAAGTGATTAAGCTGGTGACCTAATGGAAACCCCTCTTCTTGCATAACAATGTTTTGCTTAGTCAGGTCCTCGGTATGAGCCTTGATTTCAAAGGCTTCAGCATATGTGAATAACACAATGTGAACCCAGTTTTTCTGTGACTATTTTGTTTTAGTACTGGTAACATGAGCATATAAAAAGTGTTCAAATACATACCCTTGATATCCGGAATGATGCACAAGGTTTTAAGCCATGAAAACATTTGAAAATTTACAAATTTACAAATGTTTCCCCACCTAAGGCAATATTCAAATTTCAAACCCAAGTAAACGTAGAAAAGAATCGGAAATTACATCACCTATTACAATCAAAAGGAATGTATTGGAAATACTGTGTATTTCAGAGGTATATGAGGGGTGTGTAGTAGTTGGTGGTAAGATACCATAACGCCTTTCTGATCAGTGTGTCATATCTTTTACAATGTATTAATGATTGCCGGTGTAATATATAACAAGAAAACCAAAGTCGCAATATTTCACACTGTAAACAGAACAAATGACACACCATAATGTCACTTGTAAACCTTCCATTAGGGTGGCATATTATTATCCATCAGCTTTAAAAGTTTCATGGCATGTCAGTGCAGCTGGAGCGTGAAGTGACACAAATATAAACATTATTGACACTTATAAAAACATATTTCTTTCTGACATCAGATGAATTGTTGTTTTTCATGCTTGCAGTGCCAACCAAAGGTATGTATGATCTTCAAATGACATAGCTGAATTATAAAAACATACATTATTTTGGTAAAATTATCTTAAATTTGTAAAATTGATAAAGTTGCAAATAAGTTAAACTAAAGCGTTTCCGTGGACCTTCTTCAACTTCATAACTGTGCATGTAAACGTCAATGTACAGGAAGGTGTAGCTGCAAGAGGTTGAACCTGTTGTGTGCTTCAGCATGTGGATGTGGACTTGAAACATGTTCGCGTGATTTTGACATTGTTGACATTGACTAACATGTCAACTAGGAATACACTATGACTATTAGGAACAATAGACACGGATTGATATGAAGGGAAATGTTGCTTGCATTATGATGACATGACTGACTCATCATTCTTTGATGAGCAAAGAAAGACATCTTATACATATAAGATCTTTCTGATAGTGTTGTGGGAGTTTAATGATATTCGGAAGGACAGTATCTTCGCTGTAAAATTAAAAAGAAGTTTAATCAAAAATATAGCGGACATCGAGCTCTTACTGTTATGTAAAGACATTATATAATATTTTGCTGATCTCAATACAAAGAGCTACAAACATTTGTTTTCCTTGTAATGTTTTTTTCATGCATACAGTGCCAACCAAAGGTATATTTGATCTTCAAATGATATAGCTGCATTAGAAAAACATAATTTTGGAAACAATTACCTTTAATTTGTAAAGTTCAACTCATATTTTCTCATCAAATGCTCTTTCTCTTAAAATTGAACTTTGACTTTTGCGATGA